GTCGATGACATCGACGACGCGTAGACCAGACAGACGGTTGTCCATCATCAGTGTACAGAGTTTGCATTCAACGACGACGGCTGCCAGAGAACAGAGCAGCAGCTGTAAGTGATAGAAGAAAAGAAGTGTTGGAGAAAGTCGAGTTGGTGTAGAAGCAGTCTCTTCATTCTTTTCTTTATCTTTATCGTTGTCGTCAGGTGTCTCTTTACATCCACTTCTCCTCGCCAATTGTGCTGTGGCATTTCCTGTGCGTGTGTGCCGAAATGCAGTTGTGTTGGATGATGGACAGCAGTAAGGAAGAAACATCCCCGGCCCAGGCTGCTGCAGCTGCCGCCGCCGCCGCTACAAGTCCCCTTCCCCCAGGCTCGTCGCCCTGTTACGAATGGGTCAGCATTCTGGCGAAGCTGCAACAATTGGTGCCCTCCCTCCGCAAAATCTACGTGGCCTCCGAGGTGGAATTCTTGCAGCACGTTATTGACTACATCAACGACTTGCAGTCGCAGTTGAATGAATCCGAATGGTCCTCGGACTCGTCGTCAGATATCTACGAACCTTGAATGTCTGACAGGCAAATCACGTCTGTTTTATCGTCGCCTCGAACATGAGAAGAGTGATGACGCGTTGTCGTTGGACTTCGTCCCTCAGGAGAGGCAGTGCTTTGATCTGGAACGGAAGGAACAGAACGGAACGGACGGCAGCGAGCGGCTTTGCGACTAGACTTTTGAGTAACTTTCGGGGCTATCTATTGTTTCTTGTACAAAATAGTCAATAAACTTAGACTTGCAGGAAATTATTTGCTTTCTTGATTAAGAGTGCTTCTTCGATTACTCTCCTTGTAGTATTCTCCGATCCCTATGCACCAGCATCAGGAGAAATATAGTTCTTTGTCTTCGAGAGAACTGATTTCATGGAACAGATTTACCATTATCTTAAATGGAGCCGCTGGAGCCCTTCCATGTCTTCATGACGTACTCACGGCCTTGATTGCTGTTCAGAACGTGGTACAGTTATTCACAACTTTATCTTCTAACTATGCCATATATTTCTGAGTATCATCCGAAGTTTAATCACTCTCAAATCAGTTATTACTTATCTCACAGAACATAGATATGAATAAATTGCAACCCTCTCCACTAGACGACTATCAACAAGGGACCAGCGCATTGCTGCGGTACAACCCGGTGTAAAGCTTCTGTCTCGTTTGCACTACCGCAGTACTGGTGTAAGGTAGAAGAAAAATCTCCTTTTTAGATTTTCACTGTGTAAATATCATTTGTTTAACGTTTTTGAAACCAACTTCGAGTGCAGCCAGTGCTAAATTTCGATGTTGGAGAGTGGTCGTTCATTAAAGTGGACCGCTTGGTGCCTTCAAGATTAAAAATTAATAAGTGAGATAAAATTAATAATTGGAAAAGACCTTCATTCCAGTTAAATTCAAAAACCGACCAACTTTTTTTCGGTTAGCTCTCGCTCTGATACACATGGATAGCCCACTCTAAAATTATTGACTTTTATCGTTTATATTATGCATGTTGTCTAATCGTTATTATTTGCGATCGGGGTTGCTCAGTTGGCGGAACGTTGGTCTTGGAAATAAGAAGCCCGGGCTCCTGCCTTTAAAATAAGATTATGGACTAATGAGATATGGAAAATGGAAATAACCGCCCCATCAATATCTTCATGAACGAAGGGCGCCAGAAATAATCCCATCGATGTGCCTAAGTGTAAGAAAGACCGATATTCCAACGACTGCAAATTTCCTTTTTACTTTGCTTGATTGTTCGGTAGAAACTCTGGTGCATGCCAGAAAGTTCGATACGTGGACTGCTTGGCACTGATATTACCAACTGTTTGTGCGTTTTGTTTATTCACGGGTTGCACTTGATGCGCGTTTAGTTGGCTTGCAGATGGATGGAGACGAATTGCAACTGTAAAGGGTACACGTCACAAAGAGTGACAACTCCAGTACTAGATCCTTCCTCCCATGTGTTCGTAGGTCTTCGGTTTACTTCCTCTTTGTCAGATGAGGTACTAGAATGCAGCAAGAGGGATACTATTGCTCAAGGAAGTAGGCAGGTAACATCATTTTTGGCGAACTTAGATTCTAACTCACGCAATTTTGACCACAAAGTCGGACGACTTGCCCTGCACCTGGGTCGCGACCCCTCGTATTTATCCCCTTGATCAAGGATCGTCTCGGTTTAGAGGCTTAACCATAGGAATAACTGATAAGAAGTTGATGACAGGATAATAGTAAGAACAATCATCTGGATGTGAACCCTTTCATGAGAGCATACTTTAAACTGTACATTTAAAAACATACTGTTATATAATTCAAACTCGCCCCTTAACCATAACATAATCCAAGATAGCATCTTCAGACATTTCTCGTTTTCCCTCACGCATTCGCGAAGCATTACAGTGTTTGGATTGAACAAGACCAACCCAGCTGTTTGCCCTAATCGGTCACCTGGCTACGTGTTCTGTTCAAAGCAAGTCTTTGTTTTTCTCAGCTGTCCGTTAAACCATTGTTCAGCTTGAGGATGGGGGATTTCGTATCAGATTTTAATAAGTGACTGTTATTTTGCGAAGAACAGTTATATTTCTATTCTGTTATGTCAGTGTTATCTATAAAGAGCCAAAAGAGATCTCATTCCATTGCATTAAGCCATACATCGATGATTAGCCTTATTTAAAACTATTATTTATTCCTCATTTGATTCACGCGTCATTTCCAGAGTCAGATGCCTTGGAAAGTTCATTAGTAGATGTCACATTGACGCCAGTCAACTTAGACAATACTCGTCCCTCTGGAGTGATAGATCATAATAATCATAGCAATGTTATGTGTAACCAGGTAGCTAACTAAACGCGTCTGAAACGATACTTTCACGAATTTTTGTGCCTCAACTTCACTAAAACATAAACAAGATATATTTTTGTGCGAAACAGTGAGTTTGGACACTTTGATTCGAAATGAACGACTAGAACAATTTAAATGTTTACCCTCTGAGTCTTTCAATGACTTTTCATGTGAAAAATGTGCTTCCTAGGCTAGTGTTTGCCTATCAAGCGTTTAACTCCTCAAAACCGTATTTTCACGGCGTGTTGCACAGTCTTCTTTTTCCTTGTTCTAATTTCCTCCAGGACGTATAACATGTCCGCAGGGTATTTTAGTACCTGCAGTGCTAGATAAATTTCCAGGTGGAGCTATTGCGCCCAGTTTCAATGGCCCCAGAGGCAACTATAAGTAGTGAGTGGCGCAATGCGTCTTAACCTC